TCAGGCATCAACGCAAAGTGTTTCGCTGAAGCAAAAAACATCTTGCGACGTGGATCTTGTTGAGATTCCATTCGTCTATTAATCGAATCGGCAAACAAAACATCGAATGCAAAGTGCAGTTTTGAAACGGTAAGAAATGACAGATACGATTAGCAATTCCCGTGAACATTGATTAATATAGAAAAAAATATCCTTCCAAAGGATATTTACAGTACGAGGCTAGGCAAGATTCTGAAAGTAGAAATCGATATGGCTACCGGGCGCTATCCGAACTTTTCCAGATCAAGAGTCATAAATGCGAAGGTTTGGCATGTGGTCAAAATGAACGAACAAAGGTTCACACGGATAATTTTCTTTGCAAAGCCTCACGGAAGGTGTCAGAGTGCGGTAAAATGACTAAAACCCCGTCGAATTTTGCAATTCGATCCACGGAAACTTGTCTGACGAATTACCGAGACTGTTTGGAAGCCTTCCTGAAGCTGTATCTTCCGCAAGCCTTAAGAAAAAACTGGCTGAGAAAACAGATGAATGAGTGAATAATGAACGAACGAACGTGGGGGCTACCGCAAATCTAATTATCAAAACAATGAATAACACGAGCTCGGCAAAATCGTTTTGCTTGAAATCTGAAGTAAAATTAAGGTCCTTGCTGAAAACGAAGAAACGGAGTTTAGGAGAAAAATCAGCATTTGACATCTACCACATAAATTAATTCTATTGCGCAAGATGCTTGCCCAACATCAAAATATTTAAACCAAGATGCAGGAGAAATACCAAGATGCAGGAGAAACAAGCCTCGTAAAAGCTTGAAAGAGCATAAGAACTTATCTACCGCTAGACGCCGTTGGTCACAAACTGACTTCGCCGCAGCAAAATCTAATGCACTTGCAATGAAAACGTGTGAACGAGTTATGCAGACAACGCTACCTACCCAAATGACAGGCATCACAGTGAACAGAGAAAGCGAAACTGAACTGTTCAAAATATGGAATATAAAAGTCTAATAAAATGTGTAGAACGACAATCTTCACAACGAGAACTGTGTCAAAATCAGGACAAACTCACGCAGACTGAACAGTGGCTGATGGTCGAAGCAAACCAATTTGTATAAGTAGTTTGAAACATATGCGACTGATCACATTTAAAAGCGTCAGAATTTAAAAATTCACAGATAAACTTGATTTGATTTAGCACAATGAAAAATGTTAAGTACATAATCCCTCCTAAATCGAATTTACGGCAGACTCCAGATTTCTATGAGCCATTTAGGCAAGCCAAGGTTCTGCGGCATTTGAACACCTAATGCAAGCCGCATCCTTTTCTCAGCTACACCAATATCTGCGGTGTCACCAATTGTCTTATGAGCCTGTTTTCCCATTATGCTTTCGCAGAACATAAAAAAATGTGTAACCATAGTATTATAATAAAAGCACTCTATCATAAACTCAGCAGACACTATCACACACTCACTAGCACACACAGTAAGACCAAAGGACGGCGTGATAACTGTGAAATTCATTTTATCCGTGCACTCGCGGGTAGTAAGGCGCTGCTGTCAACACCAAGAACAAAGTATTCAATGTAACAACTGCAGAACATGTGATACCTAAAAGAGGATCCCCGAGTAAAAAGCTTTGCATGCTGTTTCGGCAGGTTAACTTCTGTGCAACGAAAAAACGCGTGATGCTCGACGCACTTTTTCCAAAGATTCTTGCACTCATTCCTGGACTCCAGCACGAACTCGATCGTATCTTTGTAATAAGCCTAAACACGACATGAAAAGGTATAAAAGCCCAGCTTCTTATTTACATAACTCTCCGGGTGTAGCTTGATGAAAAACTTTTTCCGCTTGAAACTAAGCTTGCGTATCTTCGCCCACGAAAACGTATTGGCGCATGTTAACTGGTGATACACCTTGATGCCTAAGTGCAACACAGTCAGCGAGACTGGCGTACCTTCAATATCCTAAAAAGATTGTATTCAACTAACGAATTGAAGTGAAGTCTGCGGAAAGATTTAAGTACGCCTGTACTTTCGCTAGATGAAATCGAACGCCATAGAATTCACAACGGCGGGCGGTCTCCAACAACGCGATGTCACTGTCAGAAGGCATCATTCCTCTGAGAAAAAACGTTATGCACAACAACGAATAACAGTAAAGAGATTTAGTAACGCAGCGAGCTTACATGAGTTTTTTGTGATTTTCCATCACTTTGCGTTCGAATTCTGCCGACTGGTTCGGAATAAATCTGCCGGACGACAAATACGAATGATCCGGATAGTCCTCAGGAGAATAATCGCCGCATTCTGCTAAAAGAACCGACTGTTAGCGTTTCCTACAATGACACAGTACTGACGATATCGTCAGCGTTAGCCTCATGTTTCTCTCTGACAGTTGGCAAGATTGACTGTTTTCACAAAACGATCGGCGACGACAGATAAAATAAAAGTTTCATTCGAACGCCATACTTTTAAGTTTTATATGCGAAACTTCGAGTAGAAAGATGTTTTCAAACTGTTGTTCGATGTTGCTGGTAAAAAGGAACATTAATTCACCGCTGAGATTCCCGTCTCCTTCAAATTTCCACGAAAGGTGTCACTGGTGGACCCTTTATCGTGCGACGCTGATCTTCGCTTAAAAACTGACGATGAGCAATTTCTTTAAGAAGGAAAGATGTAAACTTATATATCATGCATATCACGTAGCCTTCTGCCTCTATCCAAGCCATATCTAAATGTTAGTGTCGGCCAAATACCATATCTGAATATCAGAAACTTTAACTTTAAGATTTAAGATTAACTATAAGACTTCAAGATTTACGACCTAAGATTAACTTCAAAATTTCTTTATATCATTCACACCATATTTAAAATTTTCCATCAATTCTAGGTGAAACTGTTAAATTTCGTTGCATGAGAGAACCATCTCTAACCGTTAACACAGTCAGAATCAATAAAGAGCTTCTACAAAGGACGCTAGCGACAACAAGACAAGAGAATTACAGATTCGATTTATCGCGTTGGGTTCATCCTGGACGCAAGATCAAGGAAAAC